CCTTTATTTTATTTGTTTTTCTTTTTTCATTACTTTTTTATTATCATTAATATTCTGTAATTAATTGTGTTTAATTTAATTAAATTTTATTATATTCTATTTGACCTTTTATCATTTAATTTATTAAATTTAATTTAATTTCACTTCATGACAGATTGCCGAGAATTTTCTACAGGTCATTTGTAAACCACATAATGTCATTAGCCCATATGCATTTATAATTCATATTTATATTCAAATGAAAATTAACAATTTTAGATGTTCATATGCAAATGGAATGAACAAATTCATTTATATTTGATATATAATATTTCAGGACACTTCATACATGAAAAACCATATAAGTCTACATATATACTCGTACATATATATATATCTGTTTTAATCAATATCTTTATGGACTTTTGGCTAAACTGGTTTGAATTTTAGTGATTTATAATATTAACGCTGTCATTTTATGCCATCCGTTTTACGGTCACGAATGCACATTATTGCCACATCCGTTATTTTGTAGCAACATTGTACTTAAACTTGTGTTGGTCAAAATTAATGTAATTTTATTTTATTGCGTGAAAATATTTAATAATATTTACAAATATGAAAATGGCGAATGGTATAAATGGATCTATGTATTATTTTGTATATTCTAATTTAGTTTTTCCTTGATAAATACATACATTCATGTAATATGTGTAACTTGTCTGCTCAATCAGCGAATAGATGGCAGATAGATTGAATTCATTTTATGTTTTTCAAAAGCGTGGAAAAAACGATAAAATCCACATATGTAGTTTAGTTGGGAATTGAGAAGAAAATCGATGAAAATATTTTTTTTTCCTTTCAGTTTCAAATATCTTTATAGCGTAGCCCGACTGAGCCAACCACAGCCGAACAAATTAACTTGAAATGTCTTCACGTCTCTCCAGTACTACGAAGCTCGATCAAATTTGTAAAATTGAAACAGTTGGATTTATATACAAAAATCTTAACCTTTTCATCTATAAAGCCGTGCTTATCTGAGAAAGATGATAAGTGAATAATACGAATTAAAGGTCCATAGCATGCATTCTCTTCTTAGCGATTGTTTTATCTATTTCCTGCAGATATTCTTGTATGAAAACTGTTTACAGACTTCGACGTTTTTCGTTTTTCAATCCTACCAAAACAAATAAGTATTGTTGGAAACTCTCAATTACATAAAGATTTGGGGTCCAAATCAATTTTATAAAGTTAATACGATACGATCGGTGATTGTTAGTAAAATAAAAATTGCTGAATTTATATTCTATATCCTTCGATTTGATTGAAAGTCGACATATGACTTCTTCTTCTTTTTTAATCACGTAGACATTGCTCATAGCCGAATCAACAACAACGTACTATTGGTTCGTCATCTTCGATCTTTCGCGCCAGTTGAGAATACCAATTGCGCTCTCTTAAGCTTACCTCACTAGGCATTTGTAATCATGCCCAGGGCCTTGAGACGTTTTGAAATGGCTTGCTGACTCACTCCCAACGATTCGGCAAGCTGTTCTTGGGTTTGGCACGAATCTTCATCAAGCAATGCTGCTAGTTGTTCATGTTTGAAGGTTTTTCTCTTCCACCACCATGTTTGTCTTCGACAACGAAATCACCATTTTTAAAACGTTGAAACCACTCCCGACACATTCTTTCACTCAGAGCAACATCACCGTAAGTTTCTGAGAGCATTCGATGCGCTTCAGCTGTATTTTTTTTCGAATTGTAACGGAAAAGTAAAACTTCCCTCAAATGGCGAGAATTAGGTACATAAACGGACATTTTCGAGCGTGAATAATACGAAAACAAGAACAACTGTCACTGAAACGGCGATGACAATTCGTTAGGCATTGTCCACACTTATTTTAAAAGCATTATCATCTATGTATTTCAACCAGCCTCAGCCGGTACAGCCACCTATCGGAAAATGGCGGAAGCAAAGTTGTACACCTGATACAATTGTATATATTGTAGTAGGAAGCTCGATCAGTTGCTTTGATATCGTTATCTCCACTTAATCGAGAAGGTTCTGATCTTAGCTAATTCTCTCGGAGTTACAATTTATTTTGATGGGCTATAGGCAATTCAACCTTTATTCACCAACGTAATGCAAGCAGAGAATGCAGAACACAACACAGTAAAGTTAGAGTGCTGAGCTGGCTTATTTTGATGGGGGTCCAATGTAGTTAAAGCATTTGCACCTTCTTTCCGAAGCTCTCCATTTATTGCTTAGGTAAAAATCGAAAAAAACCCACTACTTCTAAAAGTATCACAGTCAAACTTTTGAAGAAATTTTATTTTTTTATCACAGAAGTACACGAATAGCTTTATAAAATCTTATACTTGCTAATTAATTGCAATGTTGGAAAACGTAGCTCCGTTCGAAATGCAAACTAGATAAAATTGGACAGAATCGTAAGTTGAATCGAAGCTTAATTGAAATGCAGCAGAACGTAGAATACCAAATCTGCCGAACCGAAAAGGCTTGGATTAATGTCGTTGTAAAATATTGCTAATTGAAAGCTGAAAATTATTTGGGTTTTTATATCCACTTCTAAACATTCCGCGAACATAAGAACGCTTCCCTGTATATGGGCATAAAATATAAAAAATATTGCTTACGTTGAGTTCAATGCCCTTTGTGGTATCTCTTGCTGTACTCATTTCCATTTTTAGTGTATAAATGGAACCAACATCCGCAGACAATTGTTGATTTAGATTAATTTATTGCTGTTGTCATGCAAATATACATACAATACAACTGCGATTAAAATAATAGCAGTGTCAAGTACTAAAATGTGAAGGCTGATCTTTCAGCAATTATCTTTTTGGCAACACTGCTTCAAGCAACTGACGCATGTTTCGTGTTTTCTATCACTCTCAAACATCTTCAGTTCGGTCTATAATTTAGCCATAAATCGTCTTACAAACGAACAACGCTTGCCAATCGTTCTTGGCTCAATGGGTGCGTAAATAAGCAGAATTGTCGGTTTTGGAGTGAAGATCAGCCGGAAGCGTTGAGAGAGCTACCAATGCATCCAGAAAAAGTCACAGTTTGGTGCGGTTTATGTGCTGGTGACATTATTGGACCGTAATTCTTCAAAGATGATGCGAATCGAAACGTAACTGTGAATGGTGAGCGCTACCGTGAGATGATATCAAACCTATTTTTGCCCAAAATGAAAGAGCTTGACTTGCATGACATGTGGTTTCAACAAGACGATACCACATACCACACAGCACGCGTAACAATGGACTTAGTGAGAGGCGAGTTCGGTGAACATTTTATTTCACGTTCGAGACCGATCAATTGGCCGCATAGATCGTGCGATTAACGCCGTTAGACTACTTTTCGTGTGGCTATGATAAATCTAATGTCTACATAAACAAGCCCGCTTCAATTGACGCATTGGACGACAACATTGAAGTATTTATTCGTGAGATACCGGCCGAAATGTTGGAAAGAGTTTGCCAAATTTGGACTAAGCAGATGTACCATTTAAGGCGCAGTCACAGTCAACATTTACATGAAATAACCTACAAACATTAAATTCTATGGATCATACTATCGATTCAAATAAAGATTTCATGAGTTTTTCTGAATTTTGTTTTTAACTTTCCTATGCTCTTAAAAATCCCCCTTTACAAGAAAGATATAGAAAAGAAAATTTTAGCGTTCATTTGATTTCAAAATTAACTTAATTTATTGCAGAATACAATACTTGGAGCTAAAATGCGGTATCCACAAAATTAATATTAAAATATAATTTAAATTCCTAAAAAGATTATTTGAATACTAAGCAGCCAAATGAAAAACAGTAGGAAATAAAGTACAAGTTCAAATAGCATTTATATATTAAGTCTTTGTTATAGTTAGTATTTGTGAAGGATCTCTTTTGGCTATAACCGCATTAAAAGACAATACGGTGGTTGCATTAAAGGTTGGAATTTTTCAACGATTTTGACATACCACTTTCAAGCACGCGTCAAATATCATTGATGTTGGTCGGCCTTGCAAGCCAATCTCTTATTTTATATCTGACGGATTGTGCTCGCCAATTGCTCGTCTCTTCCTTTTTTGCAAGAAGCCGCTTTTCATCGTTGTCTTGCTGGTAGAGCCATCTTTTCTCTGGCAAAAGGCAACATTACTGTAACCAATATTTCGGCAAATTTTGGCTATCCATTATGCCAGTTACGTGGTTTGCGGGGTTTACATCGTAATATGAAAAGCAACCTCATACTGAACGAGATGCTTAGCAAACTCACCAATATTATTTCGTTTTGCTAACAAATTAACGCAACGAAATGAAATCGTTTACATTGAAACTTATTTACATTCAACTTAACGTTAACGTTAATTATAAAATGGCTGTAAATTAACAGCACGTTTAACATTGTCTGTTAACGATTTAACTTTAACGATAGCTTTTCGTTTCGGGTAAAAACGAAAAGACATTTATTTTTACAGCTGCTTTAACGTTAACATTCACAAATGTATCAACCGAAACGATAAAAAAATTTTCGATTAACGTGAAACTGATCGATACGTTGCATTCTTGGTATTAGTACTTAGCACTGCTATTATTTTATCCGCAAATATACATACTTATATATACATACATATGTGTAATAGAGCGATGAATGTAAATCCAATCGAATGCACCATCAGCGTCATGTTCATTTGGGCATATTTACATTATGAGAAATAGTGTATTTTGCATTTTAATTTGTGACATTTTGCCAGCCAGTTTTACAATGCAACATGAGATATAGCGAAATGTCAACTCCTTACACATACATACTACATCCTATAGAACTTTATATATATATATTTTAATACGTATGTACCATGTATAATTTGGTGCTAATTTCATGTCGAACTGACATTTACCACCCTTCAGTGCATTTAAATTATTCATGGATTTGAGGGTAAAAACAGTTCGTATTGTAAAATACTGTTAAATAATTGAATGCACACTTACATCGTATACGCAAATTCACCAGTGAACTTTGCGTCTCGCCGCGATCATTGGCAGCCGCACACGCATAGAAGCCAGCATGTACGCGTGCAACACGTTGCAGCACCAGCGAACGTGTGGAAATGATGACGCCCCACGAGACATTCTGCGTGACTGGGATACCCTGAAAAATGGTAAATGAAAGTAATTGATTTGTTAATAGTTAGATTTGAATATTATGATTATTTTGAAAAATGTGGAATTAAAGAATGAGAGAATTTAGTTTTTTGTAGAGTTTTGAAGCGTGGATCCGCAGTCCCACACACACATACGAAGTCAACAAATATGTTTTTTTTTATTGTTTCCAGAAAGAATTAGCCATTGCTTCTGTTGTGCAACTCTTGTGTAGTCTTAAGTTACGAGTAACAGAGAGGAAGCTTCAAAGAAACATATTCGGTATAAAATTTCGCTGAAGTCTAATTGGAGCGTATGTTCACCAGATGTGAGATAGCGAGCGACTCGCTATAAAAAGTTGTCCAAAATCTAATCCCCTTGTTTAGCGAGTTTGTGCACTGATTTTCGAACCTGTTACATAGAAGCCTGGAACGAGATACGCTAATTTCGATGAAGACTACAGCAAACGTATTGAGAGCTATGAATGAATTGGCTTTTTTTCCGATCGTCTCGGATTACTAGCTTATTGTACCGAAGATACACATCGGCTTTTGTATTGCAAAGGATGATTCGACGTCGAAAAGCCGCAATCACAACAGATACTGGAAGGATTTGTTACTCGATTTGCACAACTGCTTATTGAGAACAGTCATCAGCAACTTTATAGAAAGAAGACAGCTTGTATTGCAGAGCTCCTTATGAAATCACGCTATAGAAATAATTAGTTTTCGACTGAAGATCTGGTACAATGAAGTTTGTTGAACCGCAACGGACAGAAAAAGAATGCCTTTCTCGATTTATCGCAATGCGAACGGCATAAGAAAGATACCAGAGTTGTCGTGGGAAGCCAGATAGATTTGCAGACAGAAAAAGCAATGTATGGAGTACAAAAAGAAAGTGTCAAAACAGGAGCTACTTCCTGTAGTAACGAAAGCCCGGAGATGGTCAACCCGTTGGTTCGATGACTATGGTGTAGACGCTCCATCACGCGACTGTGATGAAGTTCGAATACGGGTTGCCCGCTTAAAGAATAACAGGCTATTGGCCTCCTGAACTATTCCAGCATAGCGGGAGAAAACAGACAGCTTCTTTGCAAAAAATGATCTGACGAAAGCATGCCCGACGCCTAAGTCCTCAGTTTACTAATACCAATAAACAAATTATAGCTCCACAATCTTCGCCAATTATCTTGGAATAAGCCACGCCAATATTGCACGTAAGATCGTATTGTATTGTGGGAAAAACCGAAACCCACCGTTCACGATTTGGTTTGACCTTTTCGGCGCGGCTTCAGAAATGACTCGTGGCAAAAGAATCAGCACGCATCATCTTTTTGTCAATTTTACAGCAGTCTTCGATAGCACAAAAAGGACTGCCTTCGTTCATATTGGGAAGAGCATAGAAAGAGTTAACTCTCTTCCCTGTAACTTATTGAACCAAACGCTGGAGCAAGTAGTAAGACATGCTGAACTAAGCGTTCGTCGATGATATTGACATCACTGCCCCAAACAACCATGCCGTGAGCTCTTCTCTCTCCAGATTAGATAAGGAAGCTAGGCGAGTGTAACTGGTGGCGAATGAGCATTGCAAGAAATATCTCTTGTCATCAAACAAACAGTCTTTGCATTCGTAACCCAACTCCCAGGTTATTGTTGAGAGTCACAACTCTGAAGATATAAACAATTTTGTCCAACTCTGAACCAACATAAGCACCAATAACAATGTCTGTCTGGAAACCAAACGCTAAGTGAAGCCTGTCAACAGTTGCTATATAAGCCTTCGTCCTACTTTATGGTGGATTTGTGGCTTCCTGCGTATGTGTGGAGGGGAATACCGCACAGACAGTACCTACTGAGAGGAGTACATAAAGAGAGAGGATCTGGTGGAGAAGGACACATTAACTGGTAATTATTTGCAGCAGACTTTAAGAATTCATTGTCCTCTATAAATTTTTATATGTACATACGATCAAATTTTGTTTACGGAACAAATTTTTGGCTGCTGAAACGCTGAGGATTTCTATAGCATCTCTTGTGGACTCAAGTACGTTGCAGAAGAACTTGTATAAGTGATACCAAGACTTCAAAGAATATCGTGCTAAAGGTGAGGCTAGACCGAAATAATCACGTCAAAGTCGCTCAAAAATCAAGGTCATATTGACTGTTTTCTTCGATTTTCGTGGTGTGGCGCTCAATGAATTCCTTCCGTCCGGTCAAACGGTAAATAAGGAATATTATTTAAGTGTAGTGCGTCGTTTGCGTGAAGGAATTCGCAAAAAAAAACCAGAACTATGGGCCAACAATTCTTGGTTTCTGCATCACGATAATGGACCGTCGCACACAGCACTCATTCTTCGTGACCATTTCGCTAAAAATTCCACGAATATCGTTCCCAACATGTGACTTCTATCTCTTCCGAAAACTCAAAAGAACACTTCGAGGACACGGTTTTGAGTCGATTGAGGAGACTAGAAGTGAATCGGCGCTCTCTCTGAAGGCCATACCAGAATGTGACTATTTGACAGGCTTCGATAATTGGAAAAAGCGTTGGCATAAGTGCATTACATCGGCAGGGGACTATTTTGAAGGTGACGAAATCAATGTAGAAGTATAAAAAAAGATTTTTAATTTTACAAACAAATTCACCTCACTTTTTGCCCACAGGTATATACGTGTAACCATATTCTTATATAAAATATTTCAAAATGAAAAACTAAATTTTACACCATGGAAGCACAGATAGTGTTTCTCGAAATCAGAAATTCTCTAAATAAACAAAGCGCCAGCTCGAATAAGCAATATTTGTTGAAACTCATATTTCCGCACCAAAATTGTACATTATCGCTGGTGTCAGAAATATGCAAAATTTATATTTTGCCACAGAGTCAAATGTGCCTTACCATGGTGAGTCGTTGAGTGTGCTTATGACTGTGTGTGTGCGTGTATATGATTTTATTGTATTATTTGTGATTGTGTGCAAGTGCATTTTCGTTTAGCAGCTTTTACACAACACAACATCTACACACACATACACACACACGTAAATGCACAAAAAACAACGTAAAAATGGCAAAAATACACAGTGTAAATAAATACAGGAAAAATAAAAGAAAGCGGAAAATTGTATCATAACAAACAGCGAAAATACAACAATGCAAATATTTACACAAAAATACGTATATTTGTGTGTTCTCGTATGCAAGATATGTACATACATATGACAAGCACATGAAGTAAAATATGTAGATTTCAGAGAACAAAATATACGAAATTTTCGAAGAAAGCTCCATACTATTCTTTCAAAGCGAATATCATTATTAATAATGTAGCAAAATATATAAGATCTTCTAAAATCTTGTAGGCCTGCCTAGATTTGTGTATATAGAAAATACGTGGGGTGGCAGAAGCGGAAGTGTTTTGCTTGATGGGCGATTATCTGCTCGGTACAAAAATGCATAAAAAAAGTGCCCACTCGTGACAGCTTTTTCGCAATTTTTGGTCGAAAATAACACTATAAGGGGCTGCCCATAATTTTCGAAAGCATTATTTTGAGCAATTTGAAATCCCTCGTTCCCTATGATATTTCCAACCCTTTAAAATCTTATGTAAGATATGTTAGATTTTTAATTTAATATGTTTTATCAATTTTTGTTTCTTAACTCTGGCTTAAATTATACAATAATTGAATGACTTCGAATTGCTGTATTGTCTTCAAAATTTTCTATTACTGGTATAGCGCCTCTTTCTCCCTCCTCTGATGATTCTTCATCTGCAATAACTTTGTTTGCCTATTTCAAACGGCCGAGCTTTGGGCGATGTCCTAGCATTTATTTTTAAAATAGTAATACCATACACTGACGCTAGATAACACCAATCATAATTGGGAAGGCCCTCTCTGAGCCGCTCGGTACCAAACGAGGTTTCAGACTGGATGACTTTGTTGTTGTTTGATACTGGAGAGAATAATAAGAGCAGCAGAGCTGAAAAGAGAAGGTACAATCTTCCACAAGAGCGTACAACTACTGGCGTTCGCCAATGATATTGACATTATCGGCCTTAACAGCCGCGCTGTTAATTCTGCTTTCTCCAGGCTTGATAAAGAAGTGAACGAGGATAAAACGAGATATCTCCTGTCATCAAACCAACAATCGTCGCCAACAGGTGGTACTTTGGTCTGAGTAGGCCATTGAAAAGTAAAGTCCTCCTCCCTCGGCGAACGAAAACCTAACTCTACAAGTCACTCATCATACCGGTCCTGCTATATGACGCAGAGACGTGGACGATGTCAACAGCTGATGAGTCGGCTTTGGAAGTCTGCGAGAGAAAAGTTTGGCGAACGATTTATGGGCCTTTGTGCATTGGCAACGGTAAATAGCTTAGCTGAGTGTACAAGAAGATGATAAAATTCAGCATTTTTTGAAGATCACCAGTAGTAGGAAAAGCTGCTTTTAAGAAATTTGAATTCTGTTCAATGGAAATAGGTGAAGAGAAAATTCCACCCGAATCACTCCGTAGTTTACTACAGCAAATTACATAATCACAGTTGACCACTTGAAGAAAATAGTGGGATTCACGTACATGTTTGCCATACAAATTTTGAGTAATAGTTGGGTCATCCATCGACCGTAAAAATATCCATAGGTTAACTGTACTTTCAGAATCTTGAGAGTTAAGTCTTTCCAGCTCTAATAAACGTGTAAAATGAGCAGAATATGACGCAGCAGTGGATGAATAGTGTTTTCCACTAGGATCCCTTATACCTGAATACATTATTTTACATCCAGAATAGAAAAAATGGATGAACTTATATATAGTAGCAAAATATGTCTATAAGACAATACTGAATTAGGTTTATTGTATTATTATGTTCTGGCAACTTAACACGCTTCTCCATGCCTTGATGCCATTATATATATATATATATATAATTGACGCCTTGTAACCGCTGAAGCGATTTTCGACTGAGCTCCTCATCTAACTTGTGTCTTAATTTTTTTCCAACGATTGGGTC